GAATCCCATCATGGCAGGTAGTGAGACTTAAAATACAATTAATACAAATCTGAAATATAAAACTGGACTCAATAATGGTGACCATGAAGCTACTGTTGATTGTCATAAAAACCCATTGGGTGTTTAATGCCCATAAGGGAAGCAAACTGACATCTTTACCTGGTTTGGCCTACATGTGACTCCAGATCCACAGCAATGTTGATGACCCTTGGCCTAGGAGGGCCTTGACCCTCTGAAATGGCCTAGCAAGCCACTTATTTCAAGGGCAGTTATGCCTGGGCAATAAATGCCAGCCCTGCCAGTGATGCCCACATCCCTTGAAAGAATACTTGAGTGGGTGAAGGTACTGGAAAGACTAGTTTAGGGTAGATAAGTGCCTGGTTTGGCAGATTGCATTCCAGGTTGTTAAAGGAAGTGGGAGTGGAGAAGTTTGAAGGACTGGCCTTAATATTTCAACCTTCTGTAGATATGGGGAAAGTCCTAGAGAACTGAATAGCAAATCTCACACACTTAATCAACCAAGGACAGTCTTAACAACTACAGGTCAGATTGTTGAACGTTATTAGTTGGTATGTTTTTGGAATTAATCTGAGAAAACAAATCAACAGATTTGGGTGGCTAACAAATCAACAGATTTAGGTAGCACTGCTGCCTCACAGTGCCGGGGACCCTTGGGCGACTGTCTATGTGCTTATAGGAAAGATGTTGTTAAACTTGAAAGGGTTTGGAAAAGATTTACCAGGATGTTGCCAGGATTGGAGAGTTTGAGCTATAGGGAGAGGCTGAATAGGCTGAGGCTATTTTCCCTGGAATGTTGGAAGCTGAGGGGTGATCTTATAGAGGTTTATAAAATCATGAGGGGCATGGACAGGGAGAACAGCCAAGGTCTTTTTCCCCAGGGTAGCATAGGTTTATGGTGAGAGGGGAAATATTTAAAAGGGACATTAGGGGCAATTTTTTCACACAGAGGGTAGTGTGTGTATGGAACGAGCCGCTAGAGGATGTAGTGAAGGTGGGTACAATTACAACTTTTAACAGGCATCTGGATGGGTACATGAATAGGAAGGGTTTAGAGGGATATGGGCCAAATGCTGGCAAATGGAACTAAATTAATTTAAGATATCTGGTCGACATGGATGAGTTAGACCAAAGGGTCTGTTTCCATGCTGTACATCCCTAAGACTCTGTAAGTATTTTTTTTCAGTGTGACGCATTTGACAGAAAGAACAGGGAGAGGCAAAATAGACTCGATGGCAAAATTCCAAAGACAATGTACAGGAACAGAAGAACTTGTCAATGCATGTTTTTATAAGTGGCAATACAAATTGAGAGTATGATTAGCAAACGATTTGGGACCATGGGCTTCATAAATAGAGGCATAACTGAGTACAGAAGCAAGGAAGTTCCACTGAATGAATAAAAAGTTCTCTAACCTCTGCTAAGCACATTCATTCCCAGAGAACTGTCCTCTACAGGAAAAAGAAATGGAGACAGACTTTGCAATTTTTTTTAAATTAAACAAAAACTTAAGGGAAAATACTTTTCTCGTGCATTCTCCTTGGTCATATGCCAGCCAATGAGAATGGACTTGGCAACTGATTAGCACCCATTTCTCCTGCAGTATAACTTGTTGCTTGCTTTGAAATGTTGCAATCTTGTATCTGTCCTGACAAGTGTAAGTTGAAAAGTTTCAACAGTATGTCCCATTTTTTATGAGCATAGTCTCCAAAACAGACATTGCATGGATTTGTGGCTTTCACTCAGAGTTAGTAAAATCACTGTTTTTATAGGGAATATTTACTACTTGATGCTAAAGTAATTGACAGACTCATTCCAAGATGTCAGCACATTGTCATGACTCAATTAGAAACAATGTGCTGATAATCGAACCTCACTGTTCCACAACCTTTACAATTGTGTGATGACTCAACTAAATCAGCAAGATGATCAATTGGCGAGACTGACAGCTATTTAAGACAAAAGTAATTTATGCCAGGATTTGACATTAACAGGAAAATAATTCATTATTCTAAATAAACTTATTCTTTAACAAATGGCCAAAGAAAAATGGATTACTCTTCACTGGTATGCAATTTAAGCTATACTCCTTTAAAACCAGAAACACATACACAGTCATTCAGGAATAAGACAGAAAACACACAGACAATATTATATAAATATTATGGTAGGAAAAGATAGCCAAGGAGAAACATATTCCCTGGTTCAAAAGTCCAGATCACTGTTTCTCATGGTTCTTTTGATTTTCTTTGGTGTCGGTGACATAATATTGTCTGCCGAGCAAGATTCAATATTGATTCAGTGGCTGTTTGGGTGGACCCATGTGTTTTCTTCTCTGAGAATGTTTTTTTCCCAGAGTCTTCAAGTTCTGTCCTTTCTCCCCCCATGCAGAGAGTTGGTGAGAGATGCTTCTTGGGCACAGGCTTCTCAATGTGTCTGAGTGTGCTGCTCTCACAAGTCCATAATCAACTACAGCCAGACCAATCCTAGTCATTAAGCAGTTTTCGTTTAACTCAAAGACTCCTGGTGCCACTGTGTCTCATAATGTGTCTGCCTCACTGTCTTAAAAATATAGCAAGCAAAGAGTACACCTCACTATATCTCACTTGATCTCCAAGTTGCAAATACTTTCCCCTTGGGACTTTTAGTAGATAGTAACAGTTGAACTTTCATTTTCTGCTTTATCGTACAGAAGAAACAGATGTTGCATAACAGTGGTAACTTGGATCATGTTGTCAGGGACCTTTTTGCTTCTTTTGTATGATAAAGTGGAAAATGAAAGTCAAGCTACTATTCTATACTAAAATAGAAAGCTTTCTATCTGGGTGCATCATGGCTTGGTATGGCAACTGCTCTGCCCAGGGCCATAGAAACTACAGAGAATTGTGAATACGACCCAGTCCATTGCTCAAACCAAACTCCCATCTATTTACTCCATCTGTACTTCTCATTGCCATGGAAAGGCATCCAACATCATCAAAGACCCCTCCACACTAGTTTTAACTAACCTCTTCCGTCAGGCAGATGACACAAAAACTTAAACATACGTACCAACAAATTCAAGAACAGCTTCTTCCCTGCTGTTATTAGACTTCTGAATGGACCTGTCAAATTTGAAATCTACTTTTGATATTGCTTTATGTACATCTCCTTTACAGCCATAACTTTGTATTCCTCGCTCGGTTCAATCTTTGTATGGTATGATCTGCCTGGACTGCATGCAAAACAAAACTTTTCACTGTGTCTAGGTACATGTGACAATAACAAATCAAATCAAAACAAAATGTCAGACCACCTGCAAGTTATTGCAATCAAACATTGGAACCACTGCTGTTTGGTAGATGACTGGACAGGAGCTTTCTGTGGCATCACAAAGAGGATTTAATGGCAGGAGATTTTGTCTTCTTACTTTTGAGTTGACATTTGGGGATGGGATGGGCGTACTGTGTGAATTCAGGTGACTGGGTGGCTTGTTTGTGACATAGACTGACACTGTACTGTGCTGGCTGAGGTCACCATGAGTGTCCCACCTTCTCAGCTTTACCCCTTACCTGAGGCCTAGTGAGCCTCAGGTTAAACTCAATATAAGTCAATTCTTTTTAAGGTCCCATGACGACTTTCACTTTTTCTTTGATGTACAGATTCGCACACCTCTGAATTTCTTTTTTGCCCCACCACCAAATTGTCCATGTCTCTAATCACAATTGATATCAATTGACTGCTTTGATGTGCCCTAGACATGTCAGAATGGTGAGCAGTAGCCAGTTAAAGCCACCGGGTGTCCTCTGCTGAAATGGACTGAATTTAGATTGTTTTCAATTCTGTTTCAATTCATTTGAAATACTTGCAGCAACAGCAGGAGGAACAGCTTGAGTCAGGCTTCAATTAACAGCTGGCTGCTGCAACTCTTGGTGATTGATGCAAGGATCACGTGACTGTGGACAGCACGGTGGCTCAGTGGTTAGCACTGCTGCCTCACAGGGCCAGGGACCTGGGTTCGATTCCACCCCCGTGTGACTGTCTGTGTGGAGTTTGCACATTCTCCCCGTGTCTGCATAGGTTTCCTCCCACAGTCCAAAGATGTGCAGGTCAGGCGGACTGGCCATGGGAAATTCCCCATAGTGTCCAGGGATGCGCATGATAGGTGGATTAGCCGTAAGAAATGTAGGATTACAGGGATAGGGTAAGGGAGTCACTCTGGGTGGGATGCTCTTTGGAGGATTGGTGTAAACTTGATGGCTTCCACACTATAGGAATTCTCTCATTCCATGGGGTGACGGTGTACCCAAGCTGGTAGAATGTATGAACAGCTCCAAACACCAACTGGGGCTTGGACATACTTCTCAATGAGGATCTCCATGACAAATGGATATTTAAATCAATGTTAAAAGCTCCAGCATAAAGTCAGGAAAGGTCATCGCTGTTTACACTTTGACTTCTCTAGTCCTTAGCACGATTTCATTTCATTCTGTCCAGATTGCAGTGTTAGCCAGGCAAACTCAAAACTCCACACTGCTGTCTTTTGGTTGAGATGTAAAACTGAAACGCTGTCTGAAAGACTTCAATGATCTCCTTACACTTTTTGAAGAAGAGCTGAAAGTTCTCTGCAAAATAAAATGCCTCTGTCAACATATGCGTACATCAATTATGCTATCAATTATCAATATGTCATCAAATGATCTCTTTGACCCATTTTTTAATTGCAGAAAATTCCTGTTGGGACCTGTGGATACTGGACACTGTTTCATGTTTTGCTCTAATGTACTGGAGGGAAACAGGATGTATTATCACTTTTGAAGTGTAATAGACTATCTATATTTTAAGTACACTGTTGAGGTATGTTGATGCTTTTATGTTTCAAATGATAAGTTGTTGAACACCATGCTATGGTCCTTTGGGTTCCACCTTAACATCTATTGGTTATGGTGTTTTACAGCTGCTCGAAATCATGTCGATATATTTAATATTTATTATAATTTTAGAAATGGAAGTTTGAAGCTAACAGATCGCAAGACTGGGACTCTTTACACTATCAGTGTCAACTGTTTCAATGGAGAAACGATACTCAAGTCTTCAAATATCAGCATTGATACAGGTACATTGGTGTCCTTTAATATTACTTCAGAATGAAGGCATGGTTTTGTTGTAAAGACAGAAAATGCTGGAAATAATTTACAGGTCTGACAGCAGAGCTAATGGGCTGAATTTTCCCAGCCACATAGTGGAGGGCTTGCTGGTGATGGTAGGGGACCAGGGTGACATGGGAGAGTTGCGTTGGGATAACTTGCTGTTGCATTCCAGGCACCAGGAACTTCCCAGGGTTGTGTAGAAATAGGATAGGCTGCCCGCTCCACAGAACAACAGCCAGTTTGCTGCTTTGTCACCATGTTAAGGGTGATTTTGTAGCGTCACCAGAATTTTGGCAGCAGTGTAGTGGCACTGGCCATGTGCAGAGGCGACGAGCTCAGTATAACATGGTGAGATGGCACAGTGGCTCAGTGGTTAGCACTGCTGCCTCACAGCACCAGGGAACCAGGTTTGATTCCACCCTTGGGCAACAATCTTTGTGGAGTTTGCACATTCTCCCTGTGTCTGCGTGGGTTTCCTCCGGGTGCTCCGGTTTCCTCCCACAGTCCAAAGATGTGCAGGTTAGGTGAATTGGCCATGCTAAATTGCCCGTAGTGTCCAGGGATGTTTAAGTTAGGTGGGTTAGACATGGGAAATGCAGGGGTAGGGGAATGGGTTTGGGTGGGATGTTCTTCGGAGGGGCGGTGTGGACTTGTTGGGCCGAATGGCCTGTTTCCACACTGTAGGGATTCTATGATCTATGATTCTGTAACAGGAGAGGGGGATTATCTGTACGTATTCTGGATAACCAGGGGGAATGATCATTGGAGAAGTCAGCTCAGACCTCTGTTATGACCAGGTGAGGAGGAGTCACTGACTCCACCTTGGCGAGTCACAGCAAATATTGTCTTTTTGAGCAGGTAGCGATCATATTGCAATTAAACTCAAATAACCAAATCAAAAATGAAGGTGAGCCAATTCAAAGTTTTGAATGGGAGGAGCGGAGCTTTATTACCAATGTCCCCCAAAAGAAATAATAAAATACAATAACACACACACACACACACACACACACACACGAGGGATGTCACATATAGACAGGAAGGTAAAGGCCAATGCAATACTAAATCTTAAGAATCCTTTGGTTGGCAAGGATTAAAAAGCCTGAGTTTAGCTGTTGCCCTGTTTCTTTAGGGGTGACAGTGCTTGCAGATCCTGAATTCTCTGCGAATAGTGATTTCTCCAAAATGCTTTCTCACTGCTGCAAGTTTCTATGATTCAGACTGAGACTGTAAGCTCCACCCTCTTGGTCCTTGGATTCCCCTCTGTTCAAGAAAGGAGAGAGGCCCAAAACAGGAAACTGTAGTCCAGTTGGCTCATCGTGGGAAGGTGTTAAACTGATCACTAAAGAGATTATATCTTAGAAAAACACAAGGTATTTCGGGAGCAGTCAGCATAGTTTCATCAAAGGGAAATCATGTTTAATCAATTTACTGGAGTTCTGTGAAGGAGTAATCCTTCACAGCACAGCCAGAAGGCACTTGATAAAGCGCTACATCAAAGGTTATTGCAGAAAATGAAAGCTCATAATGCAGAGGGTGACCGATCAAGAATCTATTTATCTCAGCCTTAAATACACACACGAACCCTGCCTCTACAGCTCTCTGTGACAAGGAGTTCCAAAGATTCATAACCATCTGAAAGAAGAAATTCTTCCTCATCTCAGCCTTAAATTGGCCCTCTTTATTCTGAGACCATGCCCTCTGGCCCTGGACTCTCCCATGAAGGGAAACATCCTCTCAGCATTTAATCTGTTAAGCCTCTTAATAACCCTATATGTTTCCATGAGATCACCTCTGATTCTTCCAAACGTCAATGAATAGATTCCCAACCTGTTTAGTCTTTGCTCATAAGACAATCCCTTCACACTAGGGATCATCCCAGTAAACCTTCTCTGAACTGCCACCAATGAAATGATATTTTTCTTAAATAAGGTGACCAAAACTGCTCACAGCTCTCCAGTTCTGAGGAAGGGTCACTGGACCCGAAACGTTAACTCTGTTTTTTCCTTCACAGATGCTGCTAGACTTGCTGAGCTTTTCCAGCAACTTTGTTTTTGTTCACAGTTTTCCAGATATGGTCTCACCAGCACCTTGTAAGTTGCAGTAAGACTTTCCTACACTTATGCTCCAAACCTCTTGAAATAGGATTCAATAGAATCATAGAACCACTACAGTGTGGAAACAGGCCAATTGGCCCAACAAGTCCACACTGTCCCTACCAGACCATCACCCTTCCCTTTAACCCTGCACTTCACCTGGCTAATCCACCTAACTTATACATCCCTATGTATACTATGGGCAATTTAGCATGGCCGATCCACCTACCCTGCACATCTTTGGACTGTGGGAGGAAACCGGAGCATAGAGGAAACCCACGCAGACCCGGGGAGAACGTGCAAACTCCACACAGACAGTTGCCTGAGGGTGGAATGAAACCCGGGTCCCTGGCGCTGTGAGGCAGCGGTGTTAACCACTGATCCACTGTGCCGCCCCTATTCCAATAGCCTTCCTGATTGGCTGCTGCACCAGTCTGCTAGCTTTCTATGTTTCATGTACAAGTGCCCCCAAGAGCCTTTGTGTTGTAGCTTTCTGCAGCTTTTTGGCATACATTTCCCTGTTTACGGTCTTTTATGTGCTTGCTGGAATGTTGGTCAGTATCTGCCATCCCTTTGGTCATGCGATTGCTTCCTAAGCAGGCGGGAATAACACTTTCAAAAAGAGTGATTTTAACTCCCCGACCCTCCCTGCCCCAACCAATTGTCAATGGCATTACCATCGCTGAATCCTCCACTATTAACATCTATTGCCTGAAAAGTGAGATGGAACAACTGTAAAAATATTGTACCTACAAAAAATTTCACCAAGGCTCATTAGATAGCTCCAAATCCATCCAGAAGGACAAGCGCAGCCATTACATGGAAACACCACCACCTGCAAGTTCCTTGCCAAGGCACTCACTGTCCTGTTTTGGAAATATGTATGTGTTCCTTCATTGTTGCTGGGTAAAAATCCTAGAATTCCCTCCCTAACAGTAGTGTGGGTATAACCACACCAAATGGACTGCGGTGGTTCAAGAAGGCAGCTCAACACTACCACCTTCTCAAGGACAATTAAGGATGGGCAATAAATGCTAAGAAGTACACATATTCTAAATGAATTCAAAGGAAGAGGGCAGGTTATAGACGAGAATTCTGCAGCAATTAGCCCACCAATTAGCTCCTCAAAACCTAACAACTATCTACAAGAGTAAAATCAGAAGTGTGATGGATTATTGTCTGCATTACTGTAGCTGCTGCAACACTAAAGAAGCTCAAAACCATCTAGGTCAAAGCAGCCCATTTGCCACCCAACCATATATTAAACATCTATTCAGACCAGAGATAGTAGGAACTGCAGATGCTGGAAAATCTGAGATAACAAGGTGTAGAGCTGGATGAACACAGCAGGCCAAGCAGCATCATAGGAGCAGGAAAGCTGACGTTTCGGGCCTAGACCCTTCATCAGACCAGCATTGATGCACAGTATTAGTGGTGTTCACCCATCTGCATATGTGCTGCAGCAACTCACCAGGCTCCTTCACAGTAACTTCATATAATCTGTGACTTCTATTACATAAAAGGAAAGGGGCAACAGTTATGTGGGAACACCAGCATCTACAAGTTTCCCTCCAAGCCACGTACCATTCTGACTTGAAAATATCTCACCGTTCCTTCTGTGTTGCTGGTACAAAATCTTTGAACTCCCTTGCTAGCGGCACTGATGGTGCACATACATCACATGGACTACAGCAGTTCAGGAAGGCAGCTCACTACCACCTTCTCAAGGGTAGTTAGGAATGGCCATTAATTGCTGGCCTAGATAATGATTCCCACTCTTTTCCGTTGAATCAAATCTTCCAGATTATGTATTTCATAATTTAGATAATGAATTTGAAGCTGTTCTAAAATGTGTTAATTAAAATAGAATTGGGTCCTAACTCTCAATTCCTCAAGTTGCAGCAAGCAATCTTCATCTCTTTTGTTTGTCTTGCATTGAAATATCACTTTGTTTTGCATTCCAGGTGTCGTGCCAAGTTTTCACCCTTCGACATCACTGTACACATCAAGACCAGGAACCCAGTCGACATTAGGCAACCACCTGAACGATGCCAAGATACTCAGTTCGTATGTATAACTTTTATACTGGTTCCAAAGTAGAATTGACGTACAACAGTTGTTCTCAGGCAATGCATGTTGGAATTTTTCCAAAATCACTCAAAACCCACATTGGTTTGAACATTTTCCCAATGGCAGAGTCAAATTTACAACCTGGAGCTTCAAGAAAGGTTACATTCCCCACTGCAGGGTCCAAATACTAGAACGCCCTTCTCCATAGCCTGCGGGGTGTCCCTACTCACCGAGGATTCCAGCAGTTAAAGAAAACAGCTCACCAGCACCTTCTCAAGGGAAATTAAGAATGGGCAAGAAATGCTGGCTCATTCCATGAACAGATAAATATATAAATGCTTTTCAAGACCTCAAGATTTATAGATTGTGTAGTACTTTAAAACACTTCCTGCACCAGTTGAGGTTACCATGAAGGACTCTCCTTCTCGACCTCTCTCCTCACATGAGGTGTGGTGATTCTCAGGTTAAACCACCACCAGTTGTCTCTCTGTAATGAGAGAACAGCCCTATGTTCTGGTAAGTCTTTGGTGACTCTACTTTTAAAGTACTGTTGAAATGTTGCAAATGTGGAACATAGTTTGCACATAGCAAGTTCCCATCAACAATGTAATAATGATCTGACAATCTCTTTTTTTCAGTGAGGTTGATTGAGGGCTAAGTTTAAAAGAATGCAATGGGATCTTTTACATCTACCAGAGGGGTCTTTAATTAAATGCTTCTTCTGAAAGATGATACTTCCAGCTGTGCAGCACTTCCTCAATGTTGCATAACCCAAAGTACTGTGAACTCCTATCTTTTCCAAGAATCTTTTTATGTGGCACCTTATCAATTACTTTATGGAAATCCAAATACACTGAATCTACCAGTTCCCCTCAGTCAATCCCCTCTCCTTGTTATACCCTCAAAGAACGCCAACAAATTTGTCAAAAATGTTGACTCTATTTGATTGTGTAAAGTCTTTCAAATATCCTGCTATTTCTACCTTAATAAATGACGATAGCATTTTCCCAATGACGGATGTTATGTTAAATGGCCCATAGTGTCCTGCTTTGTCTTTTCCTCTCACAACATTACCTCCTGAGCCCAGGGTCTACAGCATTGCCATGCCAGCTATTGTGCTGCACTGTCCCTGCAGTGAGACTGTCAATGACCCCACCTCCTGCAGTAGCTCATAGCCTGTAACTTTCGTCTGCACCTCTTATATGTTGAATTTACCTCCTTCACAATTATTGTCCCCTCTGCATCGCAGCATGCTGCCACACCCACAATTGTATTCCCTCACTTCCCTATTATAGCAGTTGGCCCTGATAATCCTCCTTGATTTTCATTGAGCTCAACCCCATGGGCCACACCGCTGATCAGATTTGATGGAAGCCCCTATGGTGTGTGACCAGGCCTCTGCCTGATCGCGGTGTAGCTCCCCCAACTAAGTTCCCATGTCCTCCCTGAGAAGTTGCACTGGAGCTGCAGGACTGACTGTGACCAGTTCTGCAGACTGTTGTGGTATGTATTGCTTGATTGTGACTGCCCAAGTAGTTGACTGAATGTGCCCAAGCCCCTGGACTGACATTGGACTCTGCCCTAGATTTACTATTCCAGGTGACCTTGAGTGAAGACCATCTGCCTCCATCCAAATGGAGGTTGGCATTGACAAAGCACCAACCTTACCACTTCATCATGGCGCGATTCAGATTAACTTATAATATGGTTCAGTGTTTCAATACTGTACTTTGAAGCTCACCAATATGTTATATTGCAGTGTTGCTGCAGAGTTTTGTGTACAGGAACAGACACCCACCTCATGTTTTGGAACTAGATTGCTTTATTGATGCTCACCGTCTTTTTACTTACCTGGATACACACACCATCTCTGTCTTGTCTTGTCTTGCCTTTTAGCACAGGCAGAAATCCAGCAGCCTGTCAGAATTGAACAGGCAAGGGATGGACATGTTGGGTGTACTGCACCATGCTATGTCAATGTCACATGTACAGCATGCAGTAGCAGCTTATGTAGCACACCATCTGCATTCGCTCCAACCAAATGGCTATGTCTGGAAGTCATAAGGGAGCAGTCTTTAGTTCAGTCAAAGGGGATTGTGGATAGTCAGTAAGCTGATCTGTCTCAGTCAGAAAAAGTGGTGAAGTGTTCTCAGTGAGTAGGAAGCACAGAAAGGAGGAAAGGTTGGTAGTTTGAGGGGGAATGTGGTGGACGAGGGTCACTGAGACAAGGTGATACAAATCATAGAAATGGGTAGTACATGAGCCTTGGTGGAAGGTAGGTGCAATGACAGAGTTAGTGTGAGGTCACAGAGAGAAAGTGTACTTATCCTGTAGAATGCAGAAGGTAATTGCAGTATTTCTGTGTGTTCCTCCAGACCATGATAATTGCGCTGACCTGGGTGACCACTTCAGACCAGCCTGGCAGTGCTTAATAAGATGAGCTGGTGTTTAAATATAGCATGCACTGTGTGATTGCTGTAAGATCCTGGCTTCCGCGAGCATTTCTGCCACTGCTGGGTGCCAGATTGAATGAGAGTGGCCCTCATGGAGACGGGGTATGTAATTAATGTAGTGAACAGCTTAGAATTGTGTAAGAAATGTTGCTAGAGTTCACAGAGAGAAACCTTCCATGAAGGTGTGTGAAATTAACACTTCGCCAAATTTTGGGAAAACTCAGCCCATTGTAATAATTGTGTTGTCCATCAAAGCTGAGAAGTAATTTATATTGTGGAAGTAGTTTTGCATTGAAGGCTTTATGCTCCTTTATGTTGTACCAGTAGGGGTCAGCAAATCATTAACTTTGAACTATTTCACTTATATTAACATCACAAAGTGAAAGATGGCTTCTGTTTCTAACCATTTTATTGAACCATTGAATGGCAACAGCACAGAAGGAGGCCATTTGGCTCATCAATAGTCACTTAATTGTACTCCCTCTGCCTTTTTCCCCTTAGCCCTGCATAGATTTTTCTCCTCGGATAATTATTCTGAGGCATTGGGTGAATTTTGCACTTATTTTATTACCCACCAGTTCTCAATCGAGCTGGGGTTAAAATCGGAGCATACAAATGCAAGGAAAGTTAAGCCAGGTAGGAAATTGCAAATCAGAGACCACTGAGGCTGCATGAAGTTACGTGCTGAATGATAGTCTGGAAGCCTCCAACAAAAAAACTTGGAAAAGTGAACAAAGTGAAATTTTTGAAATTCATAGAAAAATTCATTCACTTTCTTTTTCAGCATCTGGTATTAATTGTATCCAAAGTATGTTTTAAATAAAGTAACAAACTCAAAAAAAATACATAGAGCACAGCAGTTTGTCTCAATTAATGTATTGATTCAACTCCTATATATCTCCTGACTCCTACATTAAAGTAATTACTTTATAACTTCAGTCAACCTCAATAGGCTACACTTCAACTCGTTACTTTTCCCCAGAACAGTTGAGTTTCCAATTTTATTTGCATCTTCAACACATCAGATTGCTGAATTTCTGAGTTTTTATCATTAGCTTTTGACTTAGGGATTTGTCATTCTCCTAGAATTTGCGCATTCCTTTGCTTCTTCCCAAAGACTGGTGATTTAATTCTCAAAGCTTTATTTGATGCACCTTTATATCTCTACTTCTTTAGATGCTGAGTTGCTGATTTAAACATTACCTGTGGTTAATAAAACTGTACTTCGTAGAAGGACAATTGATTGCTGACTGTAGAAATTTTTTTTAGTCAATATTATGTTTTTAAACAAAGTTCGAGTTTCTCTAAGTGATTTAAAAGCAATTGGAAAAAGAGTCATGAGAAATTGGGATTCTTTTTATTTGCGATGGGCTGTAGGTGTCGCTGGGCTAGCATTTATCGCTCATCCCTAGTTGCCCTTGAGAAGGTGTTTAGTAAGCTGCTGTTGAACTGCTGCAATCCATGCGCTGTAGGTAAACCCACAATCCGAATGGGGAGGGAATTCCAGGAATTTGACCCAATGAAATGGAAGGAACAGCGATATATTTGTAAATCAGAATACTGTGTGACTCGAAGGGGAACTTGCAGGTGTTCCCATGTACACTCTGCCCTTGTCCTTCTAGATGGTAGTGACGGTGGTTTGGAAGGTGATGTCTAGGGGGTCTTGATGAATGCATGATGGATGCAGTGTATCTTGTAATATTACAAAGTGCAGCTATTGATTGACAGTGATGGAAGGAATGTATGTTAGTGGATTTTCTACTTATCAAGTGGGCTGCTTTGTCCTGGTTGATGCCAAGCTCCTTGTGTGTTGTTGGGGCTGCACTCATCCAGGAAAGTGGGGAGTATTCCATCACCCTCCTGAGTTGTTCCTTGTAGATGGTGGACAGGCTTTGGGAATCAGGCAATGAGTTACTCACTGCAGGATTACTAGTCTCTGACTTGCTCTTGTAGCCACTATATTTATATGGCGAGCCCAGTTCAGTTTCTGGTCAATGGTAAACCCCCCCGGAAGTTTATAGTGATGGTGGCAACATTGAATGTCAAGGAGCAATGGTTAGATTCTTTCCTATTGAAGATAGTCATTGCTTAGCATTTGTGTGGTGCAAATGTTGCTAATTGTTAACTTGATATGGTCTGTGCCAGTCAAAGCAAGTTTGTAAACAAGGTCACTGACCTGAAATCTTAACTCTGTTTCTCTTGCATTGATGCTACCAAGCTGACAGTATTTATATAAACTGCAACATTTTCTGTTTTATTTAAGTCACATCTCTCCCTGTCTGAAAAATCAAAGGTGAAAATATTTCTGTTCTGTATTATTTTGGAGCCTTAGGGGATTGTTTTAATATTTCAAAACTTGGAAACTGAATGAATAATCAAACTTTGAATTTATATGGTATAGTTTTTATGATTATGAAAATTTAAGTTTATTAAAATCTGGAGATTGACTCACTAATTGTTAAAGAGCACATAAGACAGGAATGCAAAGTCAAGAACTCATCCAGTGATGGGGAAATCATCAAAGGGTGGTGCCTATCAACACAA